CTATTGATTGTCTCGAACTAGTCAACATATTTAACTTCCGTTAAATTTATTCATTGTTTATTGAAATTCTGAGAAATTGTTAAAATACTTTAACCGTACTTGTTATCATTTCTGATAAATACCGATGAGTTCGGAATCTATTGAAGTTGCTATACAAAGTAATAGACCTTTCTCAATCTCAAAATTAATTTCACAAATAAACACACGCTCTTTATAAATTTATATATTTTACTTTACTTTTCTAACAATGAATACCTGTTAATAAGATCTGTAATTAACATGAGGAGAGAACAAAGCCATTTTGTAAAGAATCATACTTACAGACCTTAAAAAACTTTGTTACATATTACTCTCTATTATATTTCTAATGTATTAATAGAAAAAGCCTTATATTTTTCTCAAATGCTTTCAATGTATTTTTCAAAAAAGCAAGTGGAACGTACCCGCTATACTNTGTAAATATTAATATATATATATACTTCTTTCTGTAATTAATAAAACACTAATTTAAAGTTCTGTAAACAATCAGAATCTACAGGGTGTTCGGAAAATCTGAAAGCACAAGGGAAATCTAAACTTGAAGCAACTGCAAGAGCGAATTACTGTCACTTGTCAAAACGTCGACTCCAATATGCTCCGTCGAATACAAAGAAATATGATCATTTCATCTTCAAAGATATCTGAAGATTGAACGGGAACACTTTGAGCATATTTTAAACAAAATATATAATGTAAATTATTTGAAAATAAATTTCTTACATGATTCCGAATTTTAGGATATCTCATTTTATTTTTTTATACATAAATAATCGCTTATAAACTATAAAAATTTTCTCAAAAATAAAAATAAAGAAAAGTTTCACACAGTATTAACAGTTCGTGGTTCTGTATACGTATAAAAACGTTTATATTGTATAACTTTTTCTATTTATTTTAATTTTAGTTGTAATAATTTTGCAACGAAAGTATTCTTCTTTGCATTTAACTTATATAGAGATCAATTTATACATAAACTAAACAAGCTAAAATTAAGGCCTTACTCTTTTAAATTTATTATTATTTGGTAGAAAGGGCCCCTTATTTTACGGCTTAAAAACGTAATAACTCTAAAAATACTCCTTCTACGTGTATATATTTTAAGATTTTATAATTGATTTTAGAGTTATATTTGGATAGAAATACGATTTTATTNCCTTTAAGTAAATAAAAACTCTAAAAATTTAAATATTTGCTATAAAAAAGTACAAAATATTTCTTAAAATTAAAATATTTACAGGGTGGTTAATAAGTCAGTTAACTATTGTAAAGACTAAATTGCTCTTACTCGAATATTCTATTATTTATATAATCTACAAAAATTGTTTAAACTGAACCTATTATTATTCAATACATAAATTACAACGCTTTGAAACACTTTCACAAATTGTTTGACATAAATTGCAGTATCATTCAATTCTTCAGAAGTTTCTCCAATTAGTATACTGTTAACTAAGTTTTGGACTACCCTAATACATAATGTAATACATAACTGTAAAATATAATATTTAGATGTAAATTTGTTTCTCGAGTAAATATATTTCATATTTTTTTATAAGAAATCTTTGAAAACATTTCTATTACCCCATTTAGCAGCGTACAAGGAACCTTCTATTATACTTAGACGTTTAATTATTGTATATTTAATTGTTAATGATATCGATTACCTTATTTAATCTTGTAGCTATTGATTGTCTCGAACTAGTCAACATATTTAACTTCCGTTAAATTTATTCATTGTTTATTGAAATTCTGAGAAATTGTTAAAATACTTTAACCGTACTTGTTATCATTTCTGATAAATACCGATGAGTTCGGAATCTATTGAAGTTGCTATACAAAGTAATAGACCTTTCTCAATCTCAAAATTAATTTCACAAATAAACACACGCTCTTTATAAATTTATATATTTTACTTTACTTTTCTAACAATGAATACCTGTTAATAAGATCTGTAATTAACATGAGGAGAGAACAAAGCCATTTTGTAAAGAATCATACTTACAGACCTTAAAAAACTTTGTTACATATTACTCTCTATTATATTTCTAATGTATTAATAGAAAAAGCCTTATATTTTTCTCAAATGCTTTCAATGTATTTTTCAAAAAAGCAAGTGGAACGTACCCGCTATACTAAGGCTTCTGAGAAAGCCTGAGTACATCTGTTGTTGAAAAGTTATTATTATAATATTTATAATGCCATTTCTACGAATTTTACGATCAATTTTGCTATTTTATATGTATATATATATATATAGTGATATGACCTATATGTATGTATATATAGGCATTATTGAAGGGAGCCAGTACAAAACCATTTGATTGGACTTCACCTTTACAAGGACCTTAAAACAACTATTAAAAATTATTTCTTCCATTGCATCTCTTGTATATTAAGAAAAATTTTTATTGTTGTTAAATTAAATTATAGTTTTTAAAAAATTATTTAAAAACTATAATTAATTTTTTAAATGCAGTTTTGTGTTTGGAAGCCTCTCGTGACCTCTAAATGACCCCGTAGGTGTATGATAGTCATCATTTCAATTTTAAAGNGTATGTCAAAATAACGATCTGCAGACTCAAAAATTTCTTCTAATTACAAATATTTTATTTATATATATATATATATTAATACAGCATTTTCTATTTTGTCTTGAAGCAGAGAACACAGTAAACGTCAGAGCTGTGATTAAACGTTTATGAAGTACTTTATCACTACATAAATATTTGTAATACTTGTAAGCCAAATTTATTGGTAGCGTATTATTCTATTATTATATTCCTATCACACAATCACTAATGCTATTAGATACAAAAAGACTAAACATTACCTTTTTGTTTAGTTTCCTGTATACGAACTTATGGCCTGGACAGGAAGTCACGTAATTTTTTAAAATAAAAATATTATTAAAAATTGTACCGCAGCCTAACTGGGGCTAGCGGTTGTGTATGTGTGTGTGTGTGTGTGTGTACAGGTCTGTGTCTGTGTAGATGCGATGTGTGTGTTATTATGTTCGAGAATTCTCGAGAGATTGTGTGCAAGAATTTACAGGATTTTCAAAAAATAATAATGAAAATAGCGGGTTTTTAATTGTTTGTGTGGACCCAAGGCCATGTGGATGGAAACGCAAGAAGACGTCTGTATGTCTGTGCTCCGATTAAAAAAAAAAACAAAAGTGTTTTTATTTTGTAATTGGATATATATTTTTTAATGTTTTAAGGGAATTCTTAATTTTTTTGGCCATCAAGTACCTTAAAAAGAAGGTCAGGTCGTCACAGAATACATTCCTAAATATGAATTTGAGTAAAATATAAATGTTTCAACAGACTTTGTCTTCAAGCTTAATTATTTAATAGTTAACTAGTTATAATTAGAATTTATAATTTATAAGTGTACCAATCATGTTTTCAAATATATACCAGTATTTAAGCGATTATTGTTATATTAGATGCAAGGATAATACATTAAATAACTAATTAATTATATATATTGATTTTATATATCCTGTTTATTAATTAAATAATTAAAACTGAATTAACAATTCGTTGTTCAAAATTGATTATTTACAACCACGGTAGATAAAAAGCAAACTGGAAATATATAATAAAATTTAATTTTGTAATATGTTTTACTTCAAATATTCACATATATTCAAAGGTATTCAATATTCAAAACAATCGCCTATAATAACATCCTTACGATTATTTCAAATACAGTCGACCCCCCTATAACACTGTTGATAATTCCGTTTTATATGAAATCCATGTTGTACGAGTCACTTAGATTTTACAAATACGTGTGCCAGGCTGTGAACGGCTCACGTATTTGTAAAAGTGACTCGTACAACATGGATTTCATATAAAACGGAATTATCAACAGTGTTATGGGGGGGTCGACTATATGTTCTATGGCCTCTCAGAAGTCAAGGGAAGCACGAGCCACTTTCCTTTTTGAAGTCCCAATATGTTAAAAAAATTAAAACTCACGTTTAAAAAATGTATTATATTTTTTAAGTAATAAAATTTGATAGAAAATAAAGGTTTTTTTCCCATTAAAACATTTAAATGAAATGAAATGGATCATTTGTAATATGTTTTAAAAGACCTCATAAATATGAAACCAGAGCTAAATAGTCCATTTATAATAGAGCCTGGTATTACCATATTTATAATAATTTATTTCGTTACATATTAATAAAAAAGGGAGAACAACCTAGGCATAAACATAAATTTATATAATTTCAGATTGCATATGCTGTGATTGCAGCCAGTTTTCTTCACAGAAAAGGTTAAATCACAGATAAATTTTAATAGTAAACTAGTTTTAATATATTAAAATATCACTTCTTTAACTGATTTGAAATTATCCAAAATGAAATTTTCGATAGAAATCATATTTTCTGAAGGAAAAGAAATGATTTAATTAAGGGAGTTTTACCTCATCCAGATGCATCTGCTGCTGAATTATGTTTCTACTAGAGAACATGAGAAGCATAATTATATCAACAGAGATGAAAGAATAAAAATAAAGATATATGCACTAAATAAGCTTTAATATAAAATATTTGCATAATTCAAGTGTTGAGCATTGCAGATAACGCCAAAAAATAGTTTTAAAAAGTTAAATATATTAAAAATATTTAATAAAAACACTTACTTTTTTCTTTTATGTGCTATTAATTAGTTTTATTAATATATATTTATTTTTAAGGCTCCTCCCACCTTTCGACATAGAAAAATCTCTAAAGGACTGAGCTAAATGATTTGCTACATCAAGAGTTCACTATATACGTAAAGAATAACAAAAACTACAAAATTGTTCATTATATCGAAAGTTCACTACATCGGGTGGTCATTATATCAGGAATTCATTGCGTGTAAAATTGCTTATTGAAATTTTTTCACGTAAAATGTCTTCTAGTATTAGTAGGAATACACATCAATCCTCTTAATGTACAAATTCGATTCAATCAGGAAAAGTGTATTTAGCAGAGAAGATAATTGAGATATACGCCATGTATCCTAACAGAACATTTTTCAATTGCTCCTTGAATGACATGAAAACATGGAAATTTAACTATCTGAAATACCTTTTATGTAGGAAAAGGGTATCTTTCAAGCAAATCTGGAAGAAGGCAAACATTTATGTGTTTCTAGGATTTGAACAATCAATTATATAATTTTACTACATATTTATACACCTTTTCTATTTTTTGTACGGATTTTTATTTCTGTAAATACATTTAATTATTTGTGTGTGCTCTTTAAACTATACAGACGTCTGAAGAACATTTTAATAATTATTCTACAAAAAAGTAGGTACATTCTTTGTGATCTTGTGCTCCTGTATGTCAAAATAACGATCTGCAGACTCAAAAATTTCTTCTAATTACAAATATTTTATTTTAATATATATATATATTAATACAGCATTTTCTATTTTGTCTTGAAGCAGAGAACACAGTAAACGTCAGAGCTGTGATTAAACGTTTATGAAGTACTTTATCACTACATAAATATTTGTAATACTTGTAAGCCAAATTTATTGGTAGCGTATTATTCTATTATTATATTCCTATCACACAATCACTAATGCTATTAGATACAAAAAGACTAAACATTACCTTTTTGTTTAGTTTCCTGTATACGAACTTATGGCCTGGACAGGAAGTCACGTAATTTTTTAAAATAAAAATATTATTAAAAATTGTACCGCAGCCTAACTGGGGCTAGCGGTTGTGTATGTGTGTGTGTGTGTGTGTACAGGTCTGTGTCTGTGTAGATGCGATGTGTGTGTTATTATGTTCGAGAATTCTCGAGAGATTGTGTGCAAGAATTTACAGGATTTTCAAAAAATAATAATGAAAATAGCGGGTTTTTAATTGTTTGTGTGGACCCAAGGCCATGTGGATGGAAACGCAAGAAGACGTCTGTATGTCTGTGCTCCGATTAAAAAAAAAAACAAAAGTGTTTTTATTTTGTAATTGGATATATATTTTTTAATGTTTTAAGGGAATTCTTAATTTTTTTGGCCATCAAGTACCTTAAAAAGAAGGTCAGGTCGTCACAGAATACATTCCTAAATATGAATTTGAGTAAAATATAAATGTTTCAACAGACTTTGTCTTCAAGCTTAATTATTTAATAGTTAACTAGTTATAATTAGAATTTATAATTTATAAGTGTACCTTTACCCTTCAAAGAGACGTTTACGTCTTCAGTTGTAGATTAAAATATCAAAAATTAACAACGTAACAAAATTATGCTTTATATTATTTTAAAATATTTATAATTGTTAATGTATTTTTGTCTTTGTCATAAATTTCACTTTGAGTGCGAGTCCCAAAAATTAACTTTTAATTTATTATTATTTTTTATTAAATAAGCATTTACTTATATTTGCTTCATTGTTCTTTTTATTTTGTCTTATTACCTATAATTTTAATTAAAATTTATATTTTTATCGTTATTTAAAAATAATTATTTTTTAATACAAATATTTCTTGAATGATTTCCCACTGACCTATTATAACATTTCATATATCTTTTTTCGTAAAAATTCCTCTTAAAACATCTCACTATCACACTATCTAAAATATGAAATATTTTTTGTTATAAAAACTTGAAATATACTTCAAAAAAGCACTATAAACATTGTATGAACCATTTCCTATTTTATATAGAGATATTTTAGGATCATGCTGTAACCAATAACCATTCGACATCAGTACATTTGTCTTTTTAACTGAGAAGAAACTATTCTACCTTGATTAGTAGTCAAAATTTAAAACCGATTTGACTTCATTTCCACAAGTATTTGAAATCACATTTTCGATCTTCATATGAAATTCTAGTAATTCCATTTTGTATATAAAGAATCTTTTACATTATGAGCATTGCCTGGTAAACGGTTTTAATACAGCTGGATAAGCAAACCAATTTTAAAACCGTTTACCGAGTAGTGAGCCCAATGTAAAAGATTCTTTACAAAATGGAATAAGTAAACCAATATAAAGCTGGATAAGTAAACCAATGATGTAGTCCGTTTCATTTAAAACGGACTACATCATTGGTTTACTTATCCAGTTGTATTAAAGCGGTTTTACTAGGAATTGCGCCTTTACTATAGGCAAGGGGTGGCCAACTTTTTTAGCAGGCGGGCCAAATTTCAGAAATAATATTTCCTGCCGGGCCACGCACCTAATTTTTTTTTAAAATTAAAGTAAACAAGCAAGCGTGCAACAGCTTCAACCGCATCGTTGCTTTCCAGTAGGTGAGATCGTGGTCAAACACTTGCCTGGTTTAATGTAAAAAAAAACACAAAAAATAGGTATATTTATTTTTTTGAAGAAAATAAAACATAACCGAGAATCATTTATTTAATAACCAAGAAACATATTTATTAGACAATTTAAAAATATTTAAAAGTGAGACATCTGACTTTGTTTTACAGAACTAACAAGTAAGTGCATCAAAATTGATCTGGACTGATGTAGTCGCTACACGCAAACAGTTTTCCAAATGAACATCAGTAATTCGTGTTCTCACTTGTGATTTGATGTACTTCATACGACTAAAAAGTTGTTCACACGCATAAGTGTTTCCAAATAGCGAAACCATTGACAGAGCATGTTTGTAAAACGGAAGATATTTATCCTTGTCCAAATACGTTTCATAGAACTCTTCCAAATTTTCTTAACTTTTCTAATGTTCATTTGGTGATATGTACAATAAAGTTAACATTTATGTTCATTTGACCTAGCTCCGCGGGCCGCAACACGACTCCCGGCGGGTCGCATGCGGCCCGCGGGCCTCATGTTGGCCACCCCTGCTATAGGCGAAAAAATTACTTTATAACCTTAAAATTACCGTTTTATATTTAATATCGGTAATATATTTGAGCTAACTTTACAATTTCTGCGAAATGTTTTGAGATCACGCCATTATTCATCATTATTCAAACTAATTTTCTATTTAGGAGATAAATGTATTGTCATCTCAAAAAATTCCCTGCTATAGATAGCAATCGGAGATATAAAATAATTATTTTCTACATTAATAATATTTTGGAATTATATTTTTGGAGTTCATTTAATATCCCAAGATATTCAATTTCGATATCTATAGAATTCACGTCTGAGACAAAAAGTAAAAATTTTAATCTTATTCTGAATAGGTCTGGTTAGAAAGAAAAAGAGCCTTTATTTCTTAGACAGAATCATTTAATTAGAGAAATGAAGTCATTATAGATATTGTATGAATGGCATCAATAGTGCTCAAGAATATCACTTGATTACTCGAGAATAGGGATCTGTCAGTCTTCCAGTTGTTTTTACTGTTGAGAAGGTACTGTATTTATTACAATAAAGGCTGAGTGAGCCCCAGAGCAGTAATTATATATTTTGTTGCTTATTCTAGGAAATTGAATCAGACTCTCTCATTCAGAAGTTAGTGCATCGGTCAGTACTTCAGTTACACTCATACCGGCAGTAGTGTTATAGTATTTTTTTTTTATTTAAATCATACGAAAATATGTATTTTTACGTTTAATCTTATAAATAAAATATATGGCGACACTATTTTTAGTAGTACAATAGAAAATTATACATTACTGCCATCTGTTATCAGATTTCAAATCCATTTCAGTTAAAATTTATTAAATGCTTTGCTTACATACATTATTCATTGTTCAATTTTTATAGTCCTACTCATAGGTTACTTGCTTGAACGTCATTCTGACGTAACCATAGATCGTAATAAATAGAAAAACTGATTGGTTGAAATTTATAGAATTAAGAAAATGAATTCTAATTTTATTAATTTATTCGTTTTCGAATATAAACAAAAAATATTTAAATTTTAAAACCAATGTTTACAAAAGAAAAATTTTTTATAAATGATTTAGGCATATTATATTCATTATAAATGGGTTTGTCCTGAATGGGGTGGATTTCTTTTAATTTCCTGGCTGTTATGTGTACAGAATCATGTCATAGTGTAAAATTTGACCCTCCGAGTTTTTTGCAAATCATTAAGAAACGAAATTTGGCATAGTAGCTTGTGTATAAGGGACATTTATATTATTAAATTTTTAGTGGTTAAAAGTCAAAAATGTGAGATAGAGGAGTGTCATGTGTCATATCTCGACAGGGATCGGACTTAATGAAGTTATTTGTGATTAGCATTTGCAATTTTTTAAATGAAACTCATCCCTACCCTCAAAATTAAGCTTTTTGCCATTTTATAATAATTAATAATATAAAAAAAAGTTTTTATAACAAAATTTCATAACAGATGGCACCACACGAAATTTTCTTTATTATAATTAATTAATAATGTAAAAGTTATTTTTTAAATAAAATCTCATACAGCCGGAAATGTTACTTAACTCGTTGCTAAGTCAACTGAGAAACTGGCCCTTATTTTGGTGCTAAACTGCGTATCCACGTGAGTGATTTCACCGCACCAAATTAGCATATGATCAGATGACTTTACGCCATACGCACCGCTGATATCCAGTAATCTTCAATTGTGCATATTCTAGTGGAAGAGCAGAAAAATCACATGAGTAACAACGAATTAATTGTCTTAGCGATCAGTGTTGTGTAGTCGTAAAATTCTTCAAATTCCGACGACTCAGATCTCGAATTTTGCTATTGGTAAAACGTGAAGTACAAAAAATACTTTTTGATTAGTATCGAAAGAAATTTCTAAGAAAATAGACTCTTCGATAAATTTAGATATCAAAATGATATTCATTTACAGTATAAAGGCCATTTTACATAAAAATTTTATGCGACTTGTTCTATACTTTCAGAAAATAGCTCTTATTAATTTAATGTATAAATATTCCTATAAAATCGCTATGAAATTATTCTCGCGATAAAATATCGTCTTACTTGCGAAATAAAGATTCTGTTTTCTTTTTGGATTAGACGGTTGAAATTAGATGATAAAGGTTATCTTAAACTAGCGTGTAACTTAAATTGTATTCAACGGTGGATAATTTAACATATAATTGGACGTTGGCGTTGAAAAATCTGTTAGATCGACACGGTTTCTCATTTCGACGGTTGTCTCGAGATGCTCATTTGATCGAAAATTATCAAACATTAATTCTAATAGTGTGTTGTGAACACAGCGTACAAAAAGATTGTGGTCCTTGTTGAAAAGGAACAAGTATTTTCAATTATATCTTATTTTTAAAACGACTTTTATGTGTGAGGATTACTTCTTTATTGGCATAAATTATCATATAAAACAATTCATTCTTCAACTGAGATGTGGTCAAAATTATATTTTGACGTAAAACAGTAGACTAATAATGGACCCCGAGAGAATTTGCAGTAACTCTAGTACGCAAGCGTATAAAAATTGGGAATATGTATTCTTACACTGTATCTAATTCGAAGCAAATAGGAAAAAATATTCGACAAGATTAAAATCCTATCGAAATCCCACTCTTTACAGACAGAGATCACGAAATTCACCCCAAAATCCGAATGTTATAACATTAAATTGAGTTGCTACCCAACAATAAAATTTTCTTGTTGAGAGAGGATCTATTATTGATTCGTGCGATTATTTATTGCAGTGTTTTTGCTTCATTTGCAGCGATTGTGTAAGTTTAGACAATGATTTTTCTAGATTTAAATACTTTTAAACTTTGATAAGCAAAATATCACAATTGGCAGCGATGGTTTTCAATAATAATTGATCGGTTTCTTTCAGAGGAATCGGATCTTTTCATTTATTTTGGGGGAGCCGATTCAGTCTTTTCATTGTTAATTTTCTAATGAATTGTTAAAGAAAAATGAAAATTAGCACTTTAAATCTCTTATTCCCCGCCATAGTTTATATATTACATAAGTATATACATTAATATTCCGTCTGAATCCTAATTAATTGCAATAATTCAAGTTCATTTGTCGTCTCGTTTCCTCTATTTTCACAGATGTTTTGTATTACTGCAGTCAACAGAAAAGTACAGTTTTTTAATTAATAAACTAATTTCTCTATCGAACATTAAAAGTCGTCGAAAAGATCAAAATTATATAATAAATAGAGATTTTATTATAATATTTTTTTCTAAAAGGAATGAAAACAATCATTTTTGCATTAGAAATATACAATTCACATTAAAATAGGAATATTTCTTAATTAATGTAAGTTCTGTTTTCACAACATTCGCTCTTTTTTTTTTGTAGGATGGATAATTTCAAAGAATTGAAGAAGTGTGCCACTTCTTCAATTCTTTGAAA